AGCTCACTGAATACAAGTGTCAGAGTGTGTGGCAGTAATGAATGGTCATGCACGTCCATGTTGTTGTAGAATGTTGTACATACCAGGAGTCACAAAGGGGTGGTGTTTAGTTCCTAAGTGAGTGGATAATGGGCACCCCTAACCTCCATTAAGCACCCCTTTGTGACTGCTGGTATATATATATATATATTCATATTGCATATATATATATATTTATAATTCATGTTTATGCTTAAGTTGTGCAGACTGCACAGATACATAGAGAGAGAGAGAGAGCGGGGGGGTGGAGGACAGGTCAGTCCTCGCCTTAACCTACAGCCATCACAACCATATAGCCTGATCACAGAGTTAGCAGGTACTAAATCTGTGGGAGAAGTGCTGAGCGCTCAGAGCCAGCTGAGTGCCAGACTCATGCCATCACATCCATAAGATGCAAAGGTCCAAGGTCGCATTTTTGATCGGACCATGTCATTTCTGCCGAGTCATATTTCCTAAACTCCAGGTAGTTTATATATCAAAAGCATTCAAAAGCTTCAAACTTCAAAAGATCTTGTCTGAGTGTCATCAAGTGTTCTCCCAAAGTGCGAGCAGATCTTGCAAGTGCTCCCAACGTGTTTCATCCGCCTCCGCTTCGTTCATCCGCTTTTGCCAGACATCGATGCTGATACCATCTTTGGAACGCGCGTGGGGGTGCCGAGGAGAACCCCCCCTGCGGGGCGGTAAGGTCACGGGGAGGTCCTTCGGTGGGTTGCGTACATGCACAAGGACCCCCCCACGAGGCCAGGCTTTGGGCATGTAGTGGGCCAAACTTGTCACCTGGAACTCTGGTGGCACAAGGAGAGTCCTGGCAGGATAGCTCATGATAGCTCATGCCAACAAGTCGCAGACAGTCCATGGGAAATCCTGGCTTGCTCGTTGGTTGGAACCTGGATGCAAGACATCCTCTACCCAGAAGAATCTCAAAGCACACTATATACTCGGTTTGTATCCAAGGGACTGTGCGTGGAATATGCTGCTGATCCATGGACCCAGCAACGATTGTTTTTGGTTTTCGCTTAGTTTAGGAGCACTTTTCATTATGAGACATTATGAGTGAATCCCCTTCTGGAGAATACTGTTATATAATGTTATATACAATCTTTTACCCTGGGGTTCCAACCACCATGAATTAAATTGAATTGGCAACATCGCGAACAACCTTTTTTTTTAATGAGGACGTTTTCACACTACCACTTACACTACCACACGATCTCCGTCGCGGCGAAAACGGTCGCATGGCCTTCACACTCCTGCGGCTTCCATGCTGCCCGAAGCCACCGTTCAGCTGCACAGTGAGTGAACCTTACATAACCTTACGGGGCCGGGTTTTGTTGATAGACTTATATACCTGGACCTTCAAGGGGTGTCCTGTCTGGAGGTCCCTTAGTAGTGTAGGGGCTTTCAGCCAGGTAACCCCTTTGAAGGTGCTGGTAGGATGCATTCTTTTTTTTTTGGGGGGGGGGGCGCGCGCCACTGGGTGAATTCATAGTGAATTTCCCGGGCTACCCGGGGAAAAGCCATAATGATACGAGACAAGATGTCAAAAAATGTTTCGTCCCGGCTTCGCTTCCAAAAATAGCAAACAACATCCAATGGATCTCCATGGCCTCTCCACTGCCCAGCGCATGTCGCGCAACACGGAGATCAAGGTGCCGACCTGCGACTTAGAGGAGGTCTTCAAGGATAGCGACTACATGAAGTTGGGGCCTCGCTGGAGAATTCGGTGCCTTTATCTTTGTGTGCTTCATTGTTTGGTGGGGGGGAGGGTGAATATTGTATCCCAGACACTCCATGTATGCCATATATGCCTACATTGGGGTGGTTTGGGGGGGTCAATGTAAGCATATATTCCATACATGGAGTGTATGGGTACTGTATGGGTATACAAACGCACGTATTATATCTGGGAACTATAGTTGTTGAGTTTGTGTGTTAAGTCACGTTTAGGTCGTATATAGGGTGTGGTGGAACCACAGAGCCACGGGGTGAGCCATGTCATGTCACACATGACGCAGTTAGGCCCCACAGATCACCACAGGCAGACTGCCAGCACCACCCAATTTGGGGTGGTGTATAGATCCAAGGCGTACCATGTACTTTTTCTAGTCCATAGCCACCCAGACTGGGTGGCGCTGGTAGCATTTTGGGCCTCAAGTTGGTGACACCATGTCTTATACTTGGGTATACAGTATACTATGGCCGCCACTGTTGATGTGGCCCTGAAGATCCCGAAAAAAGGATTTCCCGCGCTGACCAGCGAATCCGCCAATCTGCCGTCATCCAAAATCATCCAACACCCGAGGCCTCATGAACTACCAGGAACTGAACGTGATCGAACTTGAGACCCGAGAGTTTAACAGATCTACCCTTCTACCGGTGCCCTGTTCGCTGTAACTCCTGACCTCTACGACCAGCGCAGCACCGCCCGCCCGAACCAGTTCCCTTCAGGTTTCAGGCCGAGCGTCCGCCCCGGCGCCGCGGCTCCTCCGGCGAGTGGCGCCACGATCGGCTCAGCAGGTGGAGTGGGGCGGGTTGGGCCGCGCGCGGCTGGTGGGAGAGGGGCGGAGAAGAGGAAAAACCACCGTGGAGGGTCGGAAACGCAGGTGACGTGTGGTCTCCAAAAGCTGGTTGTGGTTGACCCAGGGCTGGACCTTCTGGTTCCTGACGAGCGTGGACACCTCAGTAGTTACAGGGGGGGCGGTCAGAAGTTCAATGGCACAAGTTACCCTAAGTTGGGTGGTTTCTATGGACGCTCATATGAAAGGCACTTTGGGGTGCAAGTGCCATCGAACGTCTGAAGCCACTGTAGTGTGTGTATAATCAACTGAACTCATGGGCTCCATTGGAAAGGGCTACAGATGAGTCCCCCAGCCTCACCAGCTACTCTAAGAGTTGTGAGGCTTGAACTTGCCTCGTGCCAGCTAAGAACATGGTTCTGGCAGCTGGCTACTTGAAGGGTTCCCCGCTCCACTCCAGCGAATGAAAGTTATGAAAGGCTAGCTGCGAACCAAGCCCCCAAAATCTGCCAATCAACGGGCTGGGGGGAGTAAGGTGATCCCAATCACCCGACTCCACTGTCTACGAAACTTTTCGTTTTACTGGATTTTGATGGATTTTGATCATACAAACTGGCCTGTTTGTTAAGGTAGTCCTATAATCCAAGTGATTTTTCTTTTAAAACAATTCCTTCCTGTAACCTGGGCGGTGTGGGTTGAAACGCACGAATGATATAATATACTAATTACATCCAATGACACCATATGAGGTGTTCAGGACCAGGTTTTTGCTGGGTCAGACTGGACCTGTAGTCATGATGAGTTCAACCTACCCAGGAAGAGTGGATCCTTTGCCCGGTAGATTCAACGGGTGGCCAAAAAGGGCTGAGGCTCCGCCAGAGTGGCCCTGGCTGGGTCTTGATTTGGGGGCGATGTGGGGGGGTGCTTCTTGGCATGGAGTGGGCCAATGAGGATGTTAGAGTGGTTCATACTGGTTCCATGTTGGCTGTAGGTGGTTGTTGGCTGTTGCTGTTGCAAGCTGTTGCAAGCTGTATCGGCATCGAACTCGTGTGGCTGAATGGAAGAGCCTCCATTTGGGCCTCCATTTGCAGGCTGCCTTTGTACAGTTTTGGGAGGTGCTTAGGTTTCCCAGCTTACCTAAGCTAACCCAATGCACTTGGAAAGAGCTTATAACTCTACTCAGCACCTTGGTAGATAAAACCACCCAATTCGTCCCCGCTGTTGCATTGTGGGGCGGTCTGTCAGTCCGTCTCACGGTCGCCCCGATCACCTTGCGTTTCAGGGAAGAGATTAGCCCCTGAGCTGCAGGGGCTTTGGGTGTGAATGTGTTTCTTTTAGGTTTATATTTATATATCTACACATACATGTATAATATACATACAATATACATACATGTGATACATATTTAATATATATATATATATGTGTGTGTGTTGGGAGTTTGACCTAGGGTGGCTGAAGCTCAGAAGGTAGTTAGACCCTCCCAACACACCCCAACACACCATCTCAGCATGCACTTGGAGCCTTAGGGCTTATACCCCTTCTTCATTCTAAGATCTAGTTGACAGACAAAATTCCACATCAATCAACGCCCCAAGAGGGCCACCTGACGTGCAAGCCTGGATTTCGCCCTGAACCAGAGGAAGAGATCCGATCAATTCGGCTCCAGCCAAGAACAGCCTGCGCTGCGTCAGCTCACAATCTAGCTCACCGCGTCATTGAATTGAATGGATTTGCATTTGACCAGATTGGAAGGTGGACATCCAAAAATACTTGGTGCTCTCATTTTGGTAAGAACATGTTCGTACTTTTCAACCCCATTTGGGCGTGACTACTGCAGTTGACTCCTATGGAATGGTGGAGGAGGGGATTGAACAACGTTTAAACTCTCCAGAAAAAAGCTTAGATTAGGACCCTCCAAACTAGGGGTGCCCTGTCTGGAAGCCTATAGGTAGTGTGGGGTAGTCCAGCCAGGACACCCCGACAGGAGGGTCCAGCGATCACTGATTGGCGACTGCTTGGAGGGTCTTAGAAAAGCGGTAGAGTAGAGCGGAGCAGCTGGAAGGAGTCCCAACGAAGCGGAGTGACTGCAGCTGGGGAGTCCGAAGCCTAACGCCTGAATGGAGTCTCCCTAGAATCTCAACTGAATGGCCTGTTCAGAGAAAGATCCCGTTTTTTTGGGGGGAGATCTATCATGATACATCATGATACCCATTCTGGGAGCCCAATGGCGCTTCTCAATGAATCCAAACCATCGTTTGACGTCCACTCATCCTCCTGGACGCTGTTCGTCCCCCGAAGTCCTTCTCGTCCGGAGGGGTGGGATCCCCCCGGAACCGGGGACGGTCGGCACACCGGACGAGCGACACTGAGGCGCCTACAAGCGCAAGACGGGGCAACTCAAGAGGCGGCCCCGGATGAGAACCAATGGAACTGGAAGAGGAGTTGGTTTCAGCCGCGGAAGATCTTCCCAGTGTTAGTCACTAGGGGCCTGAACAGAAAACAGGATCACTTGGAAGTGGAGTGACAAAGCAGCTGCTGAGCGTCTTCGGGAGAGAAAACAACAGGGTCTTTCAGAAAAACCATGCCATCCGGATATCCACTTCCATGTTAGTGAGTCGGAGTCTAAAGAAAACCACTGCTGCAAAGGGAGGTCCAGGATGATTCCAATGTTGAGTAGGACATGGGGGATTGTTATGCCATGTGGTGCCTTCACGGCTCAAGAACACGAGGAAGGCTTCAAAAGCCAGTCTCGCCATGCTTCTGGAGGAAGTGCCAGTCGCAGTCGATTCCTTCAACCATGATGGGGGTGTGCTCTTTTTTTGCAGCCATGCCCATGAAGACCATTTGAAAGGATTGAATAAAAAGTGGCGCAAAGGTCCGCTTTTCGCCTCAGCCATTACAAGACAACTCCTTCTGCTAAAGTGGCCCTCTTTGGAGATCACTGCATTGGAGCTTGGGCGAACCTACCAGATTCCATTGATGGATGGCTTGGAGATCGAAGTCTACCTCATAGATGCAAACCACGTTCCGGGGTCCGTGATGTTTCTCTTTTCCGGATATTTTGGAAGTGTCTTGTACACCGGGGATTTCAGACTACATGAAAAGCATCAAGACATTGCTTCGCTCGCACCTGTGAGAGACCTGGTTGGGCCTTTTTTGCAGGTGAACTTTGGGTCTTTTTCAAAGACAGGCCCGAGGGTGTTGGGTCCAAGGGTTGTTTGAGTGTGGGGGAGGTGTTTTTGTCTTCTTCCCAGTTCCCGATTATGTATATGTTCAAATCCAAGGAGACAAAGGGCTCTCACGCATCTATTTGGACAACACCTTCTGCGACCCTCGCTTCCAACAGCCGAGCCGAGAAGACGTCGCAGCAGCTATCTCCAAGCGCTTCCGGCGCAAATGGCCCTGCATCATTTTCGTCGAGAGCTATCGTTTGGGCAAGGAGACGCTACTGCTTCACCTGGCGCAGAAGTTGAGAAGCCGAGTTCTAGTCTCCGAAGAGAGGAAGAAAACCATGAGGGCGTGTGGCTTTGAGAGTGACCAGGTGCAAATTCAAAGCTGCGACCCCTTGCAGGCCTCCGAGGACTTGCTGCAGACGGAGGCCTTGAGGGGCTGCATTTGGGCCATCTCTCGGCAAAACTTGAGGAAAGGCATGTGGCAGGCGAGCGATTCGGGATGTGCATTCCATGGTCTCCTGGTTTTGGCCGAGTTTGGGTGATTTTTAAAGGTTGTTCTGTGTGTTTCCACCCCCCCTGGATGGAGGACGACGGAAGAGTCAGGTGTTTTTGGTCCTGGTTCCTGGACTGTGTTCAACCCAAGGTATTCGTGCCACTGGCTGGGCTGAACAAGCCCGAAAGGAAGAGTCGATGCCAAGCTGCGAAGACTTAGATGAGAACCTGGTCGCGGTCACCTGGTAGCGCCATGTTCGAGTGAGTTGTTAGAACGAACTCCCAGTCAGCCCCTCGAAGTCCAAAGTCCCAGGTCCAGTCTCCTGGTCCTGGTCCAACCTCCTTGAGAAGAAGTCTCTTTGGATGAGCAACTCCAGTAAAATCAGGTCCAAATGACCTGTAGGCAGTGGTTAATCTTCAACCTTTTTGGATTTTTAAAAGTATTTGTTTGGCTTCTGGACGTCAAACCCGAGGTCAGTGATGATGGGGTGTTCCATTACTTATACTCAGATCATTGCTCCTTCTTGGAACTCGTGCAGTTCCTGCAGTTCCTCCCCAAAGCTCCAGTGACCTTCATTTCTCCTGTGGGGTCATCAGAGGGAACCTACAGCTTTGATGGTGCGGATGGCATCCAAAAGCTCATGGCCTCTGCCTCAGTGCCTTCCATCCGCTACAGCGAGCGCCCCACCCGCTGCTTCGAGAAGACCAGCCTCCCCCGCGCCAAGCGGAAGGCGGAAGGTCCTCACGAGGAGGATGGATATGAGCAGAAGAAGAGCGCAGGAGCGTGAACCAATTCAATGCACTCGATGTGGTCAATTTAGCACATTAGCTAGTCTCATGCAATAGCTAGTTAGGGGATGCGCAAGCAGCGCGATAGCACGTTCGCGCGCGAACGTGCCCGTGATTACGGGGAGCAGCTTTGCCAGGAAACAGGACAGGATGGGCACCCTGCAGCCACCAAGAAGGATACCTAGAAAGGCTGTAGTGGCCTAAAGTCCGACTATAACTTGAGCGAAGCTGTTTGCAGTCACTCCCCCCCAAGACCCCAACACACACCAAATGGGTTGCCAAGCTCACACATCAGAGGTAGGTGGTGTTCTCCTGGCCAGGTGGCAGGCCAGTGCGACGCCGGACCCAGGCGGATGAGAGGTTCACTTTTCCGTCGCGCCAGGCGCCCACGGGCGGGGGGGGTTGGGGGTCCGTCCCTCTTTGTGCGAGTGGGGAAGGACGAGGAAGGACGTACACTCCCGAAAACTCACATAGACCCTGACAATGACCCCCTAAAAGCGGGTTTTCCTTTACCAACCAGTGGTTTTCTGGATCCATGCGATCGTCTTCCAGGGCCCTACATCAATGGTCAAAACAACCTCCCTAACGGCCCTAACGCTTCAAGTCAGGGCGCTCGCATGGAGACCATAGGACGTCCGTGTCGGCGTCCATTGGTGACCCCTTGGTGACCGCAGCTGGCACTTCGCTTGTTAAAGTGATTTAACAATATGATTAACCATGTTAACCGGAAAACTGGGAGCCTTGAGCAGCCATTTGTGGGGGGGAACCACGAGGTCTCAAGGTCGTCTGAAGCGAGTGAGACAAGACACGAGGAGTCCGTTCAACTACGACAAGAGCAGTCCGTTCTTTTTTCGAGGTAAAGACGTCATTGCCCAGACACTCCATGTATGGCATATTTACCTACATTGACCCCTAAAACGGTTGGTACATGACCTGTGAGGGCTCATTTGTTTCACGAGCCAAGACAGCCAAGACCGTGGCAGTCGCTTAATGGGGGGAGACTCCATGCTTCCGTGCCTCAATGGCGAGTCCTGGCACCTAGTAGATTCCTAGTAGGCCCAGTCTACACCCTGGTAGGACCTCCCAAGTCCAGTCTAATTATTCTGTTCATTTGGGCTGGTCAGTGATCAACCAAGCTCCCCTGGGGTCAAAACCCAACTGAGGCTCCCAAAGAGCGGGTCGTCACCGAAGAGCTCTGAAGCAGCTGAGCAGCTGGGATGGACCCCCCCTCAGCGGGTCGGGATAAGTGGCTGGCCACCCTGAACCACCACCAACTTGCAGTTGGCCTCTATGAACTCCTTGGTGTATTTCTGCCCCTTCCTCAGCTGGCGTTCACGGAATCTTAACTCGGTTCTTTCAAATTTGCGGGCAGAATCACCCATACGAGTGCGTGCCCTCAGGCCAAGGCACCCAAACGCGCAGACCATGTGGATCCCAAACAACAAGACTGGGCTCACCCCAGTAGAATTCGCGTGGATTTTAGAATATGTTTCACCTAGTCACGTTCGGAGTTGCCAGCAAGATGGCCTCCCGTCATGCGCAAACTGTTTGTAATATTCACTTCTGAGCACGTGCGTCCAAACAATGAATGTTCTCTAATGCTGGCCCAAGCTCGCAACACCACATAGATGCACCTGGGCTGTTGTTCTGTTTGCCTAAAGGTTCCAACTCTAGTTAGTGCCCTCGTACTGGCGCTGATCGTTGGGAAAGATCCTGAGGGGCAGGATCTGATAGCAGATGGTGCAAGGGCTGCTGTTGCAGTGTCCTGTTCCGGCAGATTGTTTGGAGTTGTCCGTGGCGGCTGATGTGCCTTATTAATCAATATCAATTCCAAGAACAGTGGAAGTGGCTTTGCCAAGTCTAAGGGGCACCCTGCTTCCTCCAAGAAGGAGGTCACGGCATCAAGCAAAGCACAGATTGTGGTGGTCCACGACTCCAAGCAGTCACAGAAATGCCTCGGTGCGTCACTCGTGTAAAAGGCGTTGCCGCGGAAGACGGCGCGGGATGGCGCGGTGGCGTGGCGCGGTGGCGTGGCGCGGTGGCTGCGTTCAGATTCTCCCTTTGAAGTCGAAAGAAGTTCCACGAACTTCTTCCTCTAGCCGTCAAAAGAGTGCAGTTGACCCAGTCTTGTGGGGCCGTCTAAGGGCACTATTAAAGCAGCTCGGTTCCGATCAACAAACAATTGAAAGCAATGAAGCAATGACATACCCAGTCAGTGCTAGTGGATCCTTGTATATATATATATATTTATAACTTATATATATATATATAGCCCGTTTGGGGGAGTGGTTTCCCCACGAAACAAGAACACTTACAACAAAGATCAACAAAGATAGCCTTTATGTGCTGGGGAAACTGAAGGATTCAGAGCCAGGATTCCTAGGGGTGCAGCCTTCTGGTCCGCGATGGAACCACATACCAGCTCCAAGCTCCAAGCTCGTGCACACCTGGTTAACTCCAAGCCACGGACGTTGATAAACCCCAAGCACCCACGGAACTGGCAGATTGACGCACACATATACCAACATGTATTCCAGCACCTTCATGACGGGGTCACCTGGCTGGTTTCGCCCCAGCCCACTACCATCCGGGATCTCCAGCCAGGACACCCCTTTGAAGGTCCAGGTTGGGGGAACGGGAAAAGGGGTGATTTTGGCACCCCAAACATCCGGAGGTGCCATCGGTCGGGGGGGAATCGAAGAGGCGAGCGCCTTGGGGAGCTCCGAGCGTTTAGAAGTAGTTCACACGCATCTCTCAAACATAGTCTACCCTAAGAATCCGCACCCTCAAAGAGATAGGGTCTTGAGGCCCCGGACCCCTGCGAAGGTGTCGGGTCCGACGCCATGGACAGCCCAAGGATTCTTAGGGTGGACATATTTCAGTGCCATGGAGTGTTTGGGTATGAGTTCTTTGGCGCCGCGATCAGGAATCCGTCATCGCTTGGCAGGAAAATACGCCCAACAAACAAGCGGATGTCCCTGTGTTTGCTTGTTCATGTGGCATGTTGATTTAGGGAGTGTCCTCATATCCAGATGCAGTTCAGGAGATGTTGGAAGTAGTTTTTACTGTCATATCCATGGCGCATGTTGGAGATTGTTTGAGCAAGAAACTTGGCGTGACTCCATACAGTTGGCGATGCTCCTTTGATGCTCAATGCGGCCCAATGAGTTTAAGTGTTTTCAAGAAAACTATCATCAACTATCCGAACTATCCTTTGATGAAGATGAGTTCAGGGCAAAGAACTACTGTTTACTGTTTCAACGCATTGGATCCCTGCTTTGGCTTACTTCAGAGGATTGTGCAGAGAACTTGCTGGAGAGGCTCTATTTGATCGACAGTCGATTCTTTGGGGGGAGTTGCCCAGTTCCATTCTGCGGTTTTGTGTTCTTTTTCCATTGCCCAGCGGAACCGCTTCTCAGCATTGCTTGCAGCTTTCTGGTGCGTCTTCACGGTGACCCGATGGGGTTCTCCCGCGTGGAAGCAGCGATGGCAGCAGCGATGGCACGCCTGTCCACCCGGGATGGGCCGGACTTATCAGAGACGATGTTGGAACGACTTGCCAATGGCTTTGTTTGAAGGATGACTTTCCAAGGGCACCAAGGTATTTGGTGGGCACTTCAAGTTTCCATGATGGGCACCCACGAATCTTGGGTTCTTCGGGTCATGTCAAGAATTTGCTGCATTTGGTGATGTTTGATGCCTTTTTGGTGCAATCCGCCTGCTGGTGTGTTGGATGTTCCCCACTATGATGTCAGCGGTCCCTCTCGACGGATTCTTGGTCTCGACGGATTGTTCACATGAAAAGCCTGGCACCTGGTGATTGGACCATGAAGGAGGCTCTTGTGGCTGTTGGACTTCAAGTAAGCCAGGAGCAAAGGGCACTGAACCCCTCAAGCCCCAATCAAGCAGAGCTGCGGTAGCATGGCTGTTAGCCTCGGACCACCAAAGCCAGGGTAGGGAAACAGCTTCCTAGCGGCGTGCGCAAAAGAAGCTTTTGCGTGCTGCATACCCTCCTTCTCAGGCATACAGTCTTTTTGGGGATAGAAGTGCGGATGACAAAGCTTGAAGTCTACCACCCCAAGGCCCAAGACATGGAACCAAAAAGAAAGTTGGGTGCACAGTGCCCAGTGCCCCAAACTATTGTAGCCACTACCCCAGAGCCAATGGAAAAAGATAGAGACATGATAGAGACCAAGATTCTACGGTGGTTCTAGAGAGCCTACCGGAAAATACCAAAGTGATTGAAGTAGCCACCTTGGAGCCTTCCCCCTATTATAGAGAGCCGATGACCCAGCCATGGCGCTGCTCGTGTCCCCCGCGACGCCGCGAAGTGTGGCATCGACTGCGCTGGATAGCGAGGTGAGTGGAGCGAACGTCGGGGTGATTGGACCGCGTGGCCGATCGGTGCATTGGCGCATGGCCACCACAGCTACACCCCGAGACGGCTGCCGAGACGGCTGCCTAAGGCTCCGATATCCTGACAGGACAGGGACCCCTCACATTGAGGAATCATCAGACTGTATGCCCCTGGGATTCCTGGCCCGTCATTGTTTCAATGGTCTTTTCCAAACAACCATTGTTCTACTTTAAGGGCTTTTACACTACAAAAACCAGGTCAACATGGCATCAACCCACTAGGGGTATACAATTGGGTTTGCCTGACTACCTGTAACAGTCAGCCAACAGGCTTTGCACAAGGCCTGCAACCTAACCATCATTATCAACTTTTACTGGTAATAGGATAGAACTAGATTGAGAGTAGGTTGCGCAATCCCCAAAAGGAGCTGTACAAAGACCCCCATTTGTCTAAGACATTTTTGGTGCACAAGTGCCGCTCTGAAACGTACTGAGATTGCTTGCTGGGCAGGTTTGTGACTGTTCATTTTGCACATCTCAGGTTCCCAGTGGATCCACATACCTTCTGAGAAGGTGCTTGGAGACTATGTATGTAGGCTTGGAAGGTCCAATTGCCTTCTGAGAAGGTATGTGGATCCATAGGGGTTTAATCTCCAGAAAGCCAAAGGCCAGGTGCCCGGAAAAACCTGGCCACATGCGCCTTCCGTCCTTCCGTGTAGTACATGTCTTTTGTGCATCCCGGGGATTTTTACTCGGCTCGAAGTTTTCGTTTAATGATACCCCACACTAGCCAGGTCCAGCCCAATCTAGATGGACACATCTTCCTCATGTTTCACCTGGTTTTGCTTAAGGTCATTTTTCCGCTACGGGTTTTCACCATGGTAAACCCATGTAAATCCCCTAACCTAGGGGAATCTGTTCATATCTTTTCCTGGTAGATCCATGTAAAACCCCTAACCTACGAGAGTTTGTTCATGTTTTTTTCTTGGTTCCTGAGCCGCAAATCCAAGTTCCCCCATCCCTTGCTCTCAGGATTCGGAGACAGAGCCTCCTGCACCACTTGCACCTTCAACTGCAGCGCCTGCCGCGGGCAGCGCGGCGGATGCGGCTCAGTCAGGGACCATTGATGTGGCCTCGGAGAGTGATGTGGAGGCGAGTGGATGGCCAATCACTCAGGCAGCAGGCACCTTATTGGCATGAGTTTGCCGTGACACAATAGACTGTATAGATGTGTGTTGTTAAATGTTATTAATATATATATAATACATATTTATATATGTTAACGAGTGCATGTAAAAGAAGCACCTCAATATACTATACCCAGCTGGGCTGGGATGTGTGGATGGGGGTTCTGTGTTTTTTCTAATTGGAGGTTGGATGCCTTGGACATCCTCGAGGTTGCCGTGAATGGGACATCAAGAGCTACAACAAGATGGTTTTAGTTTGGGGTGCTGAAGTGTTTGTTCAACAGACACTCAAGTGGGACTGGCATGTCGGCCTACTGTATTGGAGTGGTTTTTCCAAGGGGCCGTACTGTACGGGTAAATCATCATCTAGATTTTCCAATCCCACGGAGGGCTTGGGGTCAATGGCCCAATGGCCAAAGCTAATATCTTGGGTGCATCGGCCAGGCCAAGGCATGGAACAGGTTGGATCCCTAGGATTCATGGCACACTCTGGATTGAATGGGTTGACGTCAGCTCACAACCGGGCTGTTTTACTAAGACAAAGCAACTAACCAGGTTGAGAAGTCGTTTTGTCCAACGGTGTTTGGCGAACGGAGGGTCTTGTTGGAAGTGTTCTGGATGGTTCCAGGCCCGTTTTGAGCTCCTCACCCTCAGCTTGAAGAAAAAACAGAGACAATGGCCAAAGCCAAGCACATAGAGGTCCCTTTCCTCTGCTAGAAAGCAGTTTCACCACCAATGCTTGTGGTGTTAAAATCGTATGGTTTGTTGATTGGGGGGGCTGGCCTTCTGTTCTGGCCACCCTAGAATGATCAACGCGCGCCGCGCCGTCCAGATGACCGAGCTGAAGGATGCCAAGGCTACGCCTCTCCACCAGGCACGCAGAGGTGATGCGAATTGATGCGAAGTGATGCGACTCGTTGTCCAAGGAGATGGTGAAACAGAAGCGCACGCACGCACACTGAGGATGGATGAGAATAAGCAGAGCTGTTTGATGGTGATATAGCCAAACACCTCCTAGCACACACACAAGTCTGGGTCGCAATGGTGTATGTTGTTGTTGTAGCTGTAGTAGTAGTAATAGTGGTAGTCGTAGTAG